AGAGCAGTACTGAAAATGAGGGGTCAGAACTGGGACTGTTCCTGAATTTGAATACCTAGCAAATTAACTTGGCCTGTCTAGTTATTCAAACCATTGTCACCTTTCACCTTCTTTAGGATTTTTACTGGCAGACTTGGTCTGAGGTAATATTAAAACCTGTCCTGCTTGGCCAAACTTGGTTGCCTTTATGTATAAACTGTTTCCAATATTCCTAACTCCTATGGTTATTTTATGATTTGGGTAAATATGAAAAAAGAATATATCCTAATGGTTGATTCTCTGCAGAGCATCCTGCTTCTCTTTAGAGAGGGTGGCATGACTGGTATCTGAGTCTAGCTTTGAATGGGTATGTTTATCCATGAGGTTAGCCATCTGGGATACTGTGGGACTTTTTACTGATCCTGGATTGTCAAGTGGTACTGATGGCTAGAAGCAACACTGTTCATCTGCATTTTACCAATTGGTAATGGTTTGTCATCCTGGGTGGGGAATTCACTATAGCTACCTAGGCTTTTGTGACCTTCATGGGGTTAGTCCTCTTCAGCACTTTCTGCTGGTTCAAAACATGACTGCCAACTTTTTCAGCAGTGTTAGCTGTAAAAAGAATATTGCTTCTGCTCTCTGCAATGGCTCCCATTTCCCTTCTGGGAAAAATTTAAGGTGGTGACTGTAACATATAGTTTAGTTTGGGCCATTGCTACCTTAGAGTGACTTTCCCAGATGACAAACATCCCCTAACAGTTATTCGGCTGTGACCCTTTTTCTAATTAGATTAGCACTCTTGTCCTTGTTCCGGTGCCCATTCTCACTAGTGGGCCTTCCTCTCTGGAATTAACCCCTTCTTTTTGGCCTGAAACAGCCATTGTTTGCTGACTAACTCCAAGGCTCATTAACTTGGGCTTTTTTACCCACAAAGCATGTGATGTGGTAAGCTGGTGTTTTGGAGGCGTTAACGTCGCTTGATGTTGGTCAGTCCGCTTTGTTATAACTGCCTTGAGACTTGGTAATGGCTGAATATTAATTTTAAAATAAGGAGTAGTTTTCAGTATCTCACTTCTCAAGTTCTCAAAAAATGAACTGTTAGTATTGCTACTTCAAGGCTAATTTCTGACTGGCACTCTAGCATACCTCTCTTCATATAGTCTATAGGCCATTCTTTGAGAGCCAGCTCTGGTGTTTGGGGAGTTAGTTTGTTTACAGAGACCATAGGGTCAAACACTTCCTTTCCTGACAGACTCCCCCAACTTACAGCACCTCTGGCTTTCATATTATTTTGGACCATCACATATTTATTTTGTAGTAGCACTGAGATGCCAGTCAAGTCCGGGTCCCATTGTGCAAGGACCTATACAGACATTGACTAAACATATAGTTGCTTTTGTGTGATGTCTTTCACAAACCTGGATCCTGACCTTTTGATTTGTTTGGTTCCCTGTTTGTCATCTGCTTATCCCAGCCTTACAATAACAAGGGGAGAATAATGTCTTTTTGGATGAGGTGAGTAAAGTGTCACTAGTTTCTTCCTTACTATAATAAATTGATAAAGGGTGGCAGAGTAGGTGTGTATGTGTTTGGGCTGGTTAATTTTCATGGCTGTTTTGTAAAGCTGCTCTTTGAAGTTTGCCTTTCAAGGAGGTGGGTGTTGCTTCACACTTGGCTTCCCTTTTAGTTTCCGGTGTTTTTTCTGCTCACCTTTGCTCACTGGGTAGCCTGAGTAAGATGATGTAGTTGAAGCATTTGATTTAGGAGTGGGAATATATGGTTGAAAGATGTCGCCCTCTTGCTACTGTAGCTTTGCTCTGACTGTGATTCCAACCTGTTTTTGAGTGTCTGAGTGAAATGGTCTTTCACCAGGATACAGTGGTGGGATGCTTTTAAGGAGTGGAATAAGAAAACACATTTTGAGGGAAGTTCCATGCAACTATGTTTGCTCATCCTGCCATGCCTAACTTTTAGGGGTTGGGTTGGGTTTGTTTGGCTTCTTCTAAAACATACAAAACTTTTTTTTTTTCCTCTTTTTCTGGTCTATAGTTCCTAGGGTACCAAACACCCTACTAAGTTGTCATAAATATAAAGGGAAGGGTAAACACCTTTTTAAAATTCCTCCTGGCCAGAGGAAAAATCCTCTCACCTGTAAAGGGTTAAGAAGCTAGGATAACCTCGCTGGCACCTGACCAAAATGACCAATGAGGAGACAAGATACTTTCAAAGCTGGAGTAGAAACAAGGGTTCTCTCTGTCTGTGTGATGCTTTTGCTGGGAACAGAACAGGAATGGAGTCTTAGAATTTAGTAAGTAATCTAGCTAGATATGCGCTAGATTCTGTTTTGTTTAAAAGGCTGACAAAATAAGCTGTGCTGAATGGAACGTAGATTCCTATTTTTGTGTCTTTTTGTAACTTAAGGTTTTGCCTAGAGGGATTCTCTATGTTTTGAATCTGATTACCCTGTAAGGTATTTACCATCCTGATTTTACAGAGGTGATTCTTTTACTTTTTTTCTTCAATTAAAATTTTTCTTTTAAGAACCTGATTGCTTTTTCATTGTTCTTAAGATCCAAGGGTTTGGGTCTGTGTTCACCTATGCAAATTGGTGAGGATTTTTATCAAGCCTTCCCCAGGAAAGCGGGTGTAGGGTTTGGGGAGGATTTTGGGGGGAAAGACATTTTCAAGCAGGCTCTTTCCCAGTTATATATCTGTTAGACGCTTGGTGGTGGCAGCAATAAACTCCAAGGGAAAAAGGTAAAATAGTTTGTACCTTGGGGAAGTTTTAACCTAAGCTGGTCAAAATAAGCTTAGAGGGTTTTCATGCAGGTCCTCACATCTGTATCCTAGAGTTCAGAGTGGGGAAGGAACCTTGACATAAGTAAAACAGGAGAAGTGCAGAAAAGTCTTCAATTGTACACTGTAAACTTTAACTCAGCCTCACAATAGAAATAATAGCAAAGAGTACACCATTCTTACTTGCACAGGACACTAAGTGTGCAGGGAGAGAAATATAAAGCTTAAATATAAAACTCCCTGTCCCAATAATAATTTAATCTAATCTAATCTGAAGGCAACCTAACAAGTAACATCAATAAACCAGGGAAGGTGTATGGAGAACAAAGATTACATCAGTGAAAGATCATGAGAGATGCTTATTGTTGCTTTTGCATCTTATTCCTCTTTACTGTGTTACAATGTAGGAAAAATGTCTAGAATGAAGAGCTGGGTGGATGTTACTGACAGCTGGCTGGCTGAAAAGCATGAGTGTGAGGACGGATGAGGTCGGGGAGGAAACTCCAAGTACAGATGGTAGCATCATACTAATAACTAGCTCTCTTCACCAGTAGTTCTCAAAGCTTCTTACTAAGGAGATCAGTATCATTATCCTCATTTTACAGATGGGGAAACTGAGGCACAGACAAAGTGACTTGTCCAAGATCATCCAGTAGGTCACTGGAGGAGCTGGCAACAGAATCCATGTCTGCTGAGCCCCAGTCCAGTGCTCTATCCACTAAACCACACTGCCTCCAGTCCCCCTAGGTTTAGTCAGAGACATGCTTGTGAGAGAAAAGAGGGAAGAGACACAAAGGACTGGATCCAATGTCCACTGAAGTCTGAATGTCTTGCAATTGACTCAGTTATTTGCTGTTCTCGACTATTTGCAGAATAATTTCCATGGTCAATTCCTGGTCCGCAGGTCATTCACAAGGAGTTCTTTGAAATTATTAAAATATTCAAGATGGGTGTTTGTTTTGATTGACTGTCCCATAGTTGGATGGGCTACTGTTTAGATCATGTTTCTGGTGCAAAACCTCACAAGTGAACTTAAAAACTCACTTTCCATGAAAGATTTTTTTCTGACCCTGCATTGCTAAAACAGTAGCAGACAAGCAAACACGGAATGGACCCAAATGTAGGCAAAGTTAATTCAATTTGTTATTCAAATGATTATTTATGGGAAAACTTTTGGAGGTATTGCCCATCTCTAACAGGAGTAGGTCATGAATACTTGAAGCAAAGCAATGGAAGCCTATTTACTGTAGAGTAGGGATCTCAAACTCAAATCACCACGAGGGCCACATGAGGACTAGTACATTGGCCCAAGGGCTGCATCACTGAAACCTTTTCATGCAATGATACAAAAGTATAGTCAAAAATGGAAAAAAAAGAGGAGTAATACAGTATGCTATTAAAAGTCAATGTATTAACTTTTTAAAAACTGTAATGCGAAGAGGGGTTTTAATAAAATATAGACACTCAGTAATGCACCTCACTCAAATGTCAAAACAAGCATTTACTTTTAGAATTACTATAGTTAAAGCCCCTCTGCCCTCGGCCCCCGCCCCACTCCACTCCTTCCATGAGGCTGCATCCCTGCCCTGGCTCTTCCCACCCCTTCCCCGCCCCCATTCAGTGTGTTTGAGACCACTGCTGTAGAGAGTGAGAGGGGACATGTTAAAGCACAGTATGATATGTGGCAAAGAGCATGAGATAAAACACACTGTATTGTTAATAGATTCCTCAAACCAAGGATACTATTCAAAGAGCCAGAATAAGCATCTGTCTGATTGACTAGGACTATTAAAGGAGCCTAACCCATCATCCTTAGCAACGTGACACCATTACATAAAGTAATGGTTCCTACTGCACAGTTGCTCCTGTGGGAGCAAGATGCAGCTGAGCTACCTACCTTGAAAATTGTTGCTTTAAATGGTAGTAGATAAGGGAAGATTATTTACTGTCTCAGTCTGGAATATAGCTTTGGTCTGATTTTGTGTCCTAGCTGCTTAAAGTCAAAAGCCGATGCATTTCTCTCTCAGACTTTCTCCCTTCCTTTTACTTGCTGCCACATAGACAAACATAGAAGCCTAATAAGTTTATATAGGGGGTCGATTTTCTTTTTGCAATTAGGAGAATTGGCATATATGTAAAATGTATTGTTACCCTATATATATGCAAACAACACTTTCCTTTTTCTAGAAATACTGTAAAGGAAATCAGTACTTTACAAATGGTCTAGGAGAAAATATAGCTAGCATGCTCTATGCCTTCAGAATTTTTGGTTCTCTCATATTAAAAAGGAAACAGGGACAGTCCTGGAATACACACAAACCAAACTTAAGGTTGTAAACTGACATATAAGACACTAGTAGAAAACTATAGTTGCAAAAATAAGCAGACGAGTGAATGTTGGGAGCTAAATATGAAAGACTCTTGAAGAACAGAAATAATTAAGGTTCCAGTGTCACTCTTACAGGCAGATCCTCAGTTGGTGCAAATTGCCATAGCTCCGTTGACTTCAATTAAGCTATGACAACGTACAGCGGCCGAGGATCTGTCGCTCTGCCCTCACAAAGTTCTGGCCACTGCAGACAGGGCCACCTTACGTGAAATCTTGCCCCCGCCCTCCCCCCACACCGTCCCAAGTTCCTGAGATTTTTGCCACTGACTTCAATAGGGCTAGGATTTCACCCTTTGTCTTCCCTCTGTCCAGCTCTGAGGAATGTTGGAGTGGTAAGCAAACAGCCTGAAGCTGTAAAAACAAACACATGTGAGGCTCTGATGCAGAGAAACTTTTACAGTATATGACTTTCTCATAATTTTGGGGATTTCCTGTGTATGGATATTCCAGACAGCTTATTTTTTTTTAACAAACGTATCAACTGTTTGTGGGCTGGGACACAGCATTTGCAAGTGTCTTTGATTACTGTAATGCAGTGAAGAGATAGGGAGAAGCTCAGTGAAGGCCCAGATTCAACATGTTAAAGTTAAGCATGTGCTTTATGCAGTCAGCACCCCAGTTTAGGAGATTCCACTGAAGAGGTGTTTACAGCACAACATGCAAATCCATTTTCTCAGAATAATGGGTTAGCTCAACGTAGAGGCAAATGACTGGCTTGGGGTTAAGGGAACTCCAAGAAAACTTGGAGCCTGAAAAGTAAAATTTCCCTTAATTGGTCCCTTATCTAGATTTAGCAGACTGAAGCAGACTGAATTGGAGGCTGAGTTGCACAGAGTGGGGAAAGCTGAGTCAATTTTGTGACAGGGTAGTGCTGTGTTGATCAGGATGCCTAGAAGCAGCACCTACTGTTACTTAGCCCTGGTCTACACTAGGACTTTAGGTCAAATTTAGCAGCGTTAAATCGATGTAAACCTGCACCCGTCCACACAATGAAGCCCTTTATTTCGACTAAAAGGGCTCTTAAAATCTATTTCCTTACTCCACCCCTGACAAGTGGATTAGCACTTAAATCGACCTTGCCGGCTCGAATTTGGGGTACTGTGGACACAATTCGATGGCATTGGCCTCCGGGAGCTATCCCAGAGTGCTCCATTGTGACCGCTCTGGACAGCACTCTCAACTCAGATGCACTGGCCAGGTAGACAGGAAAAGAACCGCAAACTTTTAAATCTCATTTCCTGTTTGGCCAGCGTGGCAAGCTGCAGGTGACCATGCAGAGCTCATCAGCACAGGTGACCATGATGGAGTCCCAGAATCGCAAAAGAGCTCCAGCATGGACCGAACGGGAGGTACGGGATCTGATCGCTGTTTGGGGAGAGGAATCCGTGCTATCAGAACTCCGTTCCAGTTTTCGAAATGCCAAAACCTTTGTCAAAATCTCCCAGGGCATGAAGGACAGAGGCCATAACAGGGACCCGAAGCAGTGCTGCGTGAAACTGAAGGAGCTGAGGCAAGCCTACCAGAAAACCAGAGAGGCGAACGGCCGCTCCGGGTCAGAGCCCCAAACATGTGGCTTCTATGATGAGCTGCATGCCATTTTAGGGGGTTCAGCCACCACTACCCCAGCCGTGTTATTTGACTCCTTCAATGGAGATGGAGGCAATATGGAAGCAGGTTTTGGGGACGAAGAAGAAGATGATGATGATGATGATGAGGTTGTAGATAGCTCACAGCAAGCAAGTGGAGAAACCGGTTTTCCCGACAGCCAGGAACTGTTTCTCACCCTGGACCTGGAGCCAGTACCCCCCGAACCCACCCAAGGCTGCCTTCTGGACCCAGCAGGCGGAGAAGGGACCTCTGGTGAGTGTACCTTTTTAAAATGCTATACATGGTTTAAAAGCAAGCATGTGAAAGGATTACTTTGCCCTGGCATTCGCGGTTCTCCTAGATGTACTCCCAAAGCCTTTGCAAAAGGTTTCTGGGGAGGGCAGCCTTATTGCGTCCTTCATGGTAGGACACTTTACCACTCCAGGCCAGTAACACGTACTCGGGAATCATTGTACAACAAAGCATTGCAGTGTATGTTTGCTGGCATTCAAACAACATCCGTTCTTTAACTCTCTGTGTTATCCTCAGGAGAGTGAGATATAATTCATGGTCACCTGGTTGAAATAGAGTGCTTTTCTTCAGGGGACACTCAGAGGAGCCCATTCCTGCTGGGCTGTTTGCCTGTGGCTAAACAGAAATGTTCCCCGCTGTTAGCCACAGGGAGGGGGGAAGGTTGAGGGGGTAGCCACGCGGTGGGGGGAGGCAAAATGCGACCTTGTAACGAAAGCACATGTGCTATGTATGTAATGTTAACAGCAAGGTTTACCCTGAAAGACTGTAGCCACTGTTTTATAAAATGTGTCTTTTTAAATACCGCTGTCCCTTTTTTTTTTCTCCACCAGCTGCATGTGTTTCAGTGATCACAGGATCTTCTCCTTCCCAGAGGCTAGTGAAGCTTAGAAAGAAAAAAAAACGCACTCGCGATGAAATGTTCTCCGAGCTCATGCTGTCCTCCCACACTGACAGAGCACAGACGAATGCGTGGAGGCAAATAATGTCAGAGTGCAGGAAAGCACAAAATGACCGGGAGGAGAGGTGGCGGGCTGAAGAGAGTAAGTGGCGGGCTGAAGAGAGGGCTGAAGCTCAAATGTGGCGGCAGCGTGATGAGAGGAGGCAGGATTCAATGCTGAGGCTGCTGGAGGACCAAACCAGTATGCTCCAGTGTATGGTTGAGCTGCAGCAAAGGCAGCCGGAGCACAGACTGCCACTGCAGCCCCTCTGTAACCAACCGCCCTCCTCCCCAAGTTCCATAGCCTCCACACCCAGATGCCCAAGAACGCGGTGGGGGGGCCTCCGGCCAACCAGCCACTCCACCACAGAGGATTGCCCAAAAAAAAGAAGGCTGTCATTCAATAAATTTTAAAGTTGTAAACTTTTAAAGTGCTGTGTGGCATTTTCCTTCCCTTCTCCACCACCCGTCCTGGGCTACCTTGGTAGTCATCCCCCTATTTGTGTGATGAATTAATAAAGAATGCATGAATGTGAAACAACAATGACTTTATTGCCTCTGCAAGCGGTGATTGAAGGGAGGAGGGGTGGGTGGTTAGCTTACAGGGAAGTAGAGTGAACCAAGGGGCGGGGGGTTTCATCAAGGAGAAACAAACAGAACTTTCACACCGTAGCCTGGCCAGTCATGAAACTGGTTTTCAAAGCTTCTCTGATGCGTACCGCGCCCTCCTGTGCTCTTCTAACCGCCCTGGTGTCTGGCTGCGCGTAACCAGCAGCCGGGCGATTTGCCTCAACCTCCCACCCCGCCATAAACGTCTCCCCTTTACTCTCACAGATACTGTGGAGCACACAGCAAGCAGTAATAACAGTGGGAATATTGGTTTCGCTGAGGTCTAAGCAAGTCAGTAAACTGCGCCAGCGCGCCTTTAAACGTCCAAATGCACATTCTACCACCATTCTGCACTTGCTCAGCCTGTAGTTGAACAGCTCCTGACTACTGTCCAGGCTGCCTGTGTACGGCTTCATGAGCCATGGCATTAAGGGGTAGGCTGGGTCCCCAAGGATACATATAGGCATTTCAACATCCCCAACAGTTATTTTCTGGTCTGGGAATAAAGTCCCTTCCTGCAGCTTTTGAAACAAACCAGAGTTCCTGAAGATGTGAGCGTCATGTACCTTTCCCGGCCATCCCACGTTGATGTTGGTGAAACGTCCCTTGTGATCCACCAGAGCTTGCAGCACCATCGAAAAGTACCCTTTGCGGTTTATGTACTCGGCGGCTTGGTGCTCCGGTGCCAAGATAGGGATATGGGTTCCGTCTATGGCCCCACCACAGTTAGGGAATCCCATTGCAGCAAAGCCATCCACTATGACCTGCACATTTCCCAGGGTCACTACCCTTCATATCAGCAGATCTTTGATTGCGTGGGCTACTTGCATCACAGCAGCCCCCACAGTAGATTTGCCCACTCCAAATTGATTCCCAACTGACCGGTAGCTGTCTGGCGTTGCAAGCTTCCACAGGGCTATCGCCACTCGCTTCTCAATTGTGAGGGCTGCTCTCATCTTGGTATTCATGCGCCTCAGGGCAGGGGAAAGCAAGTCACAAAGTGCCCTTACGCATGCAAAAGTTTCGCAGCCACTGGGAATCGTCCCAGACCTGCAACACTATGCAGTCCCACCAGTCTGTGCTTGTTTCCCGAGCCCAGAATCTGCGTTCCACGGCATGAACCTGCCCCATTAGCACCATGATGCATGCATTGGCAGGACCCATGCTTTCACAGAAATCTGTGTCCATGTCCTGATCACTCACGTGACCGCGCTGACATCGCCTCCTCGCCCGGTATCGCTTTGCCAGGTTCTGGTGCTGCATATACTGCTGGATAATGCGTGTGGTGTTTAATATGCTCCTAATTGCCAAAGTGAGCTGAGCGGCCTCCATGCTTGCCTTGGTATGGCGTCCGCACAGAAAAAAGGCGCGGAACGATTGTCTGCTGTTGCTCTGACGGAGGGAGGGGCGACTGACGACACGGCTTACAGGGTTGGCTTCAGGGAGCTAAAATCAACAAAGGGGGTGTCTTTACATCAAGGAGTATTTCAGGCAGGACTTCACGGAGGGTTCCAATAAGAAATGGTGCACCTAAGTTATTGTTCTTATTGGAACAAGGAGGTTAGCCTGGCCTCTGATTGATACATGGCTAGATTTACCTCGCTGCACCTTCTCTGTGAGTGACTGCAGTGTGACCTAGAGGAATGAGTCCCCTAGACAGGGGAGGAGGCAAATGAGTACAAAACAAATCTGGTCTATTTCTTGTTTTGACCCACTCCATCTATCTTTTACATCTTTGGCTGGCAGCAGACGGTGCAGAAGGACTGCATGCCATCCACATCTCATGGCTGCTCGGCAGAAGATGGTACAGTACGACTGCTAGCCATCCTCATCTCTTGCCTGCCTGGCAGAAGATGGTACAATACGACTGCTAGCAATCCTCATCTCTTGCCTGCCTGGCAGAAGATGGTACAGTACGACTGCTAGCAATCCGTATCGCCTGCCTGCTCACCATAAGACGGTTCAATAGGACTGACTGCAGGACTAAAGAGAATGACCTGGTCAAGTCACTCCAAATTTAGTCCCTGCGCCCATGTCTGCCCAGGCGCTCCCAGCCGACGTGGCCAGGAGCACCTCGGACACGACGAGGACAACTACCAATCATACTGCACCATCTGCTGCCAGAAGGCAATGGGTTGCTGCTACTGTGTAGCAAAGCCGTACCGCATCTGCCAGCACCCAGGAGACATAGGGTGACGGTTACCTGAGCGGGCTCCATGCTTGCCATGGTATGGTGTCTGCACAGGTAACTCAGGAAAAAAGACGCGAAACGATTGTCTGCCCTTGCTTTCACGGAGGGAGGGAGGGAACGGGGGCCTGATGATATGTACCCAGAACCACCCGCGACAATGTTTTAGCCCCATCAGGCATTGGGATCTCAACCCAGAATTCCAATGGGCAGCAGAGACTGCGGGAACTGTGGGATAGCTACCCACAGTGCAACACTCCGGAAGTCAACTCTAGCCTCGGTACTGTGGAAGCACTCCACTGAGTTAATGCACTTAATGCACTTAGAGCATTTTCTGTGGGAACACACACACTTGAATATATAAAACCGATTTCTAAAAAACCGACTTCTATAAATTCGACCTTATTCCGTAGTGTAGACATACCCTTAGAACTCCCATCTGGTATCCATAAGCCCTGTCGAACCCTTGCATCAAGATATCTTTGTACGAAAAAGCTCCTTTTTTTAGAAACAGTATTGGAAATTGAATGTCTAGTTCTTTCTCTATAAACCGCCGAATGAAGTTTCATTACTGAAGCGTTTTTATATTTATACTGTGAACTGGGGAACACTCTCTTCTTTCTCAAGTTCTTCCCTGTGATTTTTGAGTTTCTCAAGACAGCCCACATGCCACTATTGAGTGCCTTGCCCAATTCCACGCCTCATTGGAGCTAGCTCACTTAATTCTATTGTCCTAGTGCATTTTGTTCCACCCAAACCTCTCCCTAACCCCACCATTTGCACATCCTCCCCACCCTTGCCTTCACACCTTCTTCCATTGCTGGTCTCTATGTCTAGTGTAGTCTCTCTGAGCCAGGGCGCAAGCCTGTTCATCCACATTTCCTCAAAACTCACTTCTTCTATGCAGCCTGTCATCACCTGGCCTTGCTGGCTTCTACATGCAGGTGGTGTGGGAGCGGGGGTGCTCTCTTTGATCTACAAAGTCTTCATTTTTTGGGTCCTGTGTTATTTAGAGGCCATCTCTCTACTTATGTTTTCAGCCAGCAGTAGAGGCTTCTGGGACACTTCAGCTGACAACACCTAGCTTTGTAACTCTGAGGCTGGGGCATTCTCGTTGGGGCTCAGCTCTGGAATCTGCTGTCTCCCTGGCTCTAATATAGCGTAGTTCTGTTGTCTTTCAAAGTGCCTACAAGGCCTATCTGTTTACTCAGCCCTTGTATGAACGGGTTGAGAGCGTTTCTGTTTGTGTTCATTATCATTGGTTTAGTGGACTGCAGTGTCCCTCATTTTATTACTTATTGCAAATGTACCTTGAGGCTGGTGCGTGAAAGTCATAAATTAGCGAAGGGCTCTGTTTCCACAGCTGAAACATGTGTCAGTGATTTATAACACAATACTTTAATTGCAAAAAAACCCCACCACAACAAAAACCACTCACAATAAATCTCTACTGTTAACTGTGGTGAAATTCTATATGTTCCTATTCTCTCCTTTATCATGTCTTTCCCATACCCTCTATATCTGTCTCTCTAGATTGTTACCCCCACGGGACCTTGTTTGCTTGTAAGCATGCTAATAGCACTGCATGAAGAATAAAAATAGACAGGTTTCAGAGTAACAGCTGTGTTAGTCTGTATTCGCAAAAAGAAAAGGAGTACTTGTGGCACCTTAGAGACTAACCAATTTATTTGAGCATAAGCTTTCGTGAGCTACAGCTCACTTCATCGGATGCATACTGTGGAAAGTGTAGAAGATCTTTTATACACACAAAGCATGAAAAAATACCTCCCCCCACCCCACTCTCCTGCTGGCAATAGCTTATCTAAGGTGATCACTCTCCTTACAATGTGTATGATAATCAAGTTGGGCCATTTCCAGCACAAATCCAGGTTTTCTCACCCCCTCTCCTCCCCCCACAAACCCACTCTCCTGCTGGTAATAGCTTATCTAAAGTGACCACTCTCCTTACAATGTGTATGATAATCAAGGTGGGCCATTTCCAGCACAAATCCAGGGTTTAACAAGAACGTCTGGGGGGGGGAGGGAGTTAGGAAAAAACGAGGGGAAATACGTTACCTTGCATAATGACTTAGCCACTCCCAGTCTCTATTCAAGCCTAAGTTAATTGTATCCAATTTGCAAATGAATTCCAATTCAACAGTTTCTCGCTGGAGTCTGGATTTGAAGTTTTTTTGTTGAAGAATTGCAACTTTCATGTCTGTAATCGCGTGACCAGAGAGATTGAAGTGTTCTCTGACTGGTTTATGAATGTTATAATTCTTGACATCTGATTTGTGTCCATTTATTTTTTTACGTAGAGACTGTCCAGTTTGACCAATGTACATGGCAGAGGGTCATTGCAGGCACATGATGGCATATATCACATTGGTGGATGTGCAGGTGAACGAGCCTCTGATAGTGTGGCTGAAGTTATTAGGCCCTGTGATGGTGTCCCCTGAATAGATATGTGGGCACAGTTGGCAACGGGCTTTGTTGCAAGGATAGGTTCCTGGGTTAGTGGTTCTGTTGTGTGGTATGTGGTTGCTGGTGAGTATTTGCTTCAGGTTGGGGGGCTATCTGTAGGCAAGGACTGGCCTGTCTCCCAAGATTTGTGAGAGTGTTGGGTCATCCTTCAGGATAGGTTGTAGATCCTTAATAATGCGTTGGAGGGGTTTTAGTTGGGGGCTGAAAG